GTAATTTGAGACAAAGGCTGTATGTTTCATTAGGTCTAATTTTTGTTTGTAAATAAAGAGCAGTTATGCAATTACGTTTTTTCGGCGCACCTATTCATTGTTTATGGCGTAATCAACAGACCCCTTTAACAAAGTAATGGGAAACTAACTTCTTATTTTTTTTTTGTGTTTGTCAGACAGTGGACACAGGATGTTAAGCTATAAATACAAGGAAGTCAATACTTTATCAGCAGTTCACATATTACTTATTGTTTGCATCATCTTTCTAGCGCTCCAGTAATTCTTCTTTTCTCGTACGGATGAACACCCTTACAGAGTGCAATGAAATGCTCAGTACGCCAAGTTTTGGTAATACCTTCTCGGCCTTCTAGCACTCAAACACAACGTGACTTGGCTGCCTGCGTACAGATTATACTGCGCTATATTGGCTTCTGTCACAAGATGTATCTCTGTCGTGCAATCGCCACACCTCCCCTGCATTATTTATTACAATTAGCCTCTTCGTTTATTCAATGAACCAATGTTTATCTCCTTGAGTTCACGCGCAGAGTGAGCGTGGCTCGTTGAATCTGGTCGCCGCCTTGTAGTACATTTTCTAAATAAAGTTTACTCTTAAACGTACAAGGGCACATGTGCATGCACTTATAGACAGTCAAAAGTGAAAACAAATATTAGTTAAATAATACTTGGTACTAATGAGGTTTGATATTATTAATCGTTGCAAAATAACTCTAAGAAAAATAGCATTTTAAATCGTGATATCATAAAACGTTCGTCGTTCAGAATGCAGGCTGTAACTGACCATATCCCTCTAATATGTATAGGCAATTTTGGATGAACGAAAGAATGCGCCGCACTGGTGAACGTCTTAAAATCACGTATAGTATTATTATTTTTATTATTATTATTGTTATTATTAATATTATTATTAGTAATATGATTAATAGATGAATGATTTCATTTGAGTGGGTTGACAATACTAAATACAGGGGCATCATTTTCCGATCCGGCTTGTCATGAAACAGCTATGCCTTCTGTTGCGAAATGTAGCTTGCTTATATTATAGCATTAAAATTTTTTGCCCTTTCATGCTGAAAAGATGCTTGTTCACGCCGTAGCATATAGCCTTTTGAGGTGCTGTGTGACCGTGTTCGCACATAGTTCGTTCGGGCAGCGGCACTCAAAAGTGTATAGTGTTTTGAAATCTATTTTGAAAAGTGTTGCTCTCAAGTCTATGTTTTCTGATAGTGCAAATATTTTCCGTGACCTGGAAATGTCCGATTTCTATCCATTGTTCTAGCAAACAGCGACACTTCGATATTTTTGGACTGATAACTTTAAGCTTCCAAAAAAACAATCCCGCTCCCTCAGGCAGGCCGAGCGTTTCAAAACGCCGCGTTATTTCACTAGGTGCGGGAGGACAACGCGAGCTTATTATGGGCCAGATATTTTCAGTTGTCTTCCGGACTCAGTTTTTTCTCTTGATTCCAAGACGGAAGTTTAAAAATGGCTCCGCTGAGTTATGCCGGACTCGGGGTAATTTCCTTTCGGTGTTTGAGTGTGTTCTATAATATATATTTATAAAATATAATTATGAATGATTTTAAATTTATAGTTTGGAATCTGTGTACGTGGGTGTGTGTGTATAAGTAGGTGGGTAGGAGTGTATGCGTATGGTAATGTGAGCATGTTCCCCGAAGCTTCTATACTCGGTGACAGGTCAAGAACAAAGCGGAAGCTCCCCCCACCTCTTTCCACTTTAGTAGAGAGAACACTGGAGAGGAGGCGACCTCCTCTCCACCGTTCGCTCCACTGAAGTGGAAAAAGTTGGGAGAAGCCTCCACTTCGTTCTCGACCTGTCACAGGCTGCAGGTTGTTACTCCGTTTCAATGACTTCCGGGGTCCCCGTCCCACAAGCCATTGTAGGCTTTGACAGACGCGGTGACACCTCTATTTTGATGGGTCAATACATTATTATTTATTATTATTATTACTAATATTTTCATTATTATTATTATGATTCATATTGTTAGTATTAATATTATTATTATCATCATCATCATCACCAATGTGTGCTAGCACAGAGGTCAATGGCTAATTCCTGGAAACTAGTATAAATATTGTGGGGATATATAAGTATATAAAAGGGGTTACGCAGGGTTTACCTACCATTACGTACGGCACCGGTGATCAAAGGGAACCCGATGCACAGGCAAAACCGTTTTGCCTGGCGGCCCACGCTTACCGGCAAGAGCGTTTACCGCGAGGGGGTTGGGAAACGATATTCGAAAGACGATTATCCGAATATCCAACAGTGTTTATTGGGAAACGTGGGTCGCAAATGTCACGTTGTGGTCAAGCGGGTCACGGGCGCAAGATGCTCGCGACAACGGCCGACCGAAGAGTCATGGGAAACATGCGCTCCTGCGCACGTGCGCAGATGGACGGCCTGATATGGTCCCCAGTTGTTATCCCCTTTTCGATGTGATGAAAACATTTCTGCATGGACGCCATTTCGTGGTCATTCATAAGCTCCAAGCTGCTTTCCAGGTGGAGATGCGATGCCCTTCCAAATGCGATTTTTGCAGCGCATGGAAATGCCGCCGCACAGATGGTAATTAAAATGAGAGCATCGACTTCACACAACAGAAAAAACAATTTCATTAGACGTTTTGTCTCCAATGCGGGAGGTATCTTCAGTAGTTACAAAGCGAATACAAGGTTCAACCTCAAGTCAGCGCTTTTTATCAGGAACGTCCGTATACGTTTCGTAAAGAGGGCCGCGGTTTTTGTTCCAAACGGATCATCCGTGTGTAACAAAAACCGCGGCGACGATTGCGTCCCTGTGGACAAACCAGGACTCTAGGAGTTTCCGGTCCCCCATCTGTCCTTCCTCGCCAAGGTTGTCGCGGCCGCAAAGTCAAAAGAATGCCCCATATTGTCCACGCATTGTCCACAAGTTGAGTCTTTAGTCGTGTCCCGTGGGATGCGTACGTGACGTCACGCTTGTGTTCTTTGAGTGTGACCTCTCTGCTTCGTGCGGTTTCACCAATGTAACAGGCTGGGCAGTCACTGCAGGGGATCTTATAGATAACGCCTCTCTGGACGTTCGCCGGGGTCGGGTCTTTTGGTTTGGAAACGGAATTTCTAAGAGTTCTGTATGACTTGTAAGCAGTTAGAATGCCAAGGGGCCCCAAAGCGCGACTGAGAGTTTCGAAACTCTTTTGACATAGGAGATGCAGACTACATTCTTATCTTTTTCCCTTTCGCACGGTTGCACATTTTCTTTCATTTGGTTGTTGACCTCGTCAACAAAGCGCTTTGTGTGGTGACGTTTTTTCAAATCTTCTTGTAAATTAATCAACTCATTTACGCCATGGAGCTCGTTAGATGGCACAGTATTTGATAGGCGCAGAAACGATCGCACTACTGATTTCTTGTGTTTCACTGGGTGATGGGAGAAAAAATCTAAAATATTATCTGTTTCACATGGTTTGCGGTACACACTCGTTTCAATCCTATGGTTCGGTTCACCTGTCCTCATTACACATAGCTCTAGGAAGGCCAACTTGCCCTGCTGTTCAGCGTCGCAAAAAAAAAAACTGTATCGCGGGGCGAACACTGTTTAACTCTGGGTGAAAATCGTTAGCATGGCTTTTATCTAGAATGACGAAAGTGTCATCACCATATCGGCGGTAAACTTTGACCGGGAACGCAACTTTTTTCAGCACTTTCTCCTCAATATGCTCCATAAAAAGACTGATAATACTGACAGATACCGGGCGTCTCATCGGACACCCGTTCACCGTATGATACGTCTCTCCACAAAAGGCGAAAAATTATTGGTTCAAGCAAAAACGCAAAAGCAAAATAATATCGTCAACGTGAAGTGACGCGCTACCACGCTTTGATCATCAAGTAAACGCTCCCGTGCGACATGAATGGCAACATCGTTAGGAACATTAATGAAAAGGGAAACTACATCGAAAGAAAACATGCCTCCATTCGGAAGGAGGGTTTGGGCGCAGACCAACTGAACGAATTCTTGCGAGTTCTGCACGCCATTTTTGCCTGTCACCGGCGCTATAGTAGCGGACAAACCACTAGAATCGTGGTTTGTCCTCAGGGACACCTCCGTGTGTAACAAAAACCGTTGCCCTCTCCACGAAGCTTATACGGACATTCCTGATAAATAGCTTTGACTTGAGGTTGAACCTTGCATTTGCTTTGTAACTACTGAATATGCCTGCCTCAGGGGAGGCAAAACTTCAAATGAAATTTTTTTTCTGTTATGTGAAGTCGGTGTTCCGCGGTCTACCGGGAGGCCTCTGGAGTGCACAAAGGAGCATCAAAATCGGCTTGTTCCTTGTACAGAGAAAGTTGTTTACTCCATTCCACTATCCTGTGGTAAACAGTACGTAGGTCAGACGGGCAGATGCCTCAATGGTAGGTCAAGAGAGCAGTGTTACAATGTAAGCAGGGTAGTATCAGGCCACTTGGGTATTCATTGTCGCGACTGTGGCTTTGATGCGGAATTAAAAAAAAAAAAGTACTGTCATTGGAAGAAGTGCCAATGCCTTGACCAGGGACATTATAGAGGCAGAGGCGCACGTGGGGAAGAGTGTGTCAGCTCCCCGCCAGTTCTTTTGTCGGCTAATGAATTAGATTTTCTTTCGCGGCGGCGGTGGTGCAAATGGTCTATTGGGTATAAAGCAATCTCTCTTACAACGTGCTTTTCTGCTAATATCAAATTTTTGTTGACGCACGTTTTCACTTTCAGCTTATTCTTGCGTCAAAAATACTTAATGTCGAAGTTTGTACATTATACGTCAAGTAACTGACGTTTGTCTTTGGCTATTGTTTTTTTTTTAAATCATATCATTGTTAACTTTCTTTTTACTTTTATATTCATTTTATATAAGGTCAAAGAAACGGTGAAATGATATAAATACAACGCAGTCGCAGTAAAATAACTACAGTTACGCCTGGAGAAGCTCAAAATGCAGAAAAACATTTTGTGGATCTTCGTCGCCGCAGCGCTTGGTTAGTATTGAATTATCATACTAGTCCAATACTGTCCTTTCAAAAGTAAAAAAAAATGGTGTCATAAACAACTTTTTTCATATAAAGGACAGCCAAAGCCAGGCTGTAATATATCAATGACATTGAAGATCTCAACTTATCGGTGTCCTTATAATATGGTCTTAATATTATCCAGCTATTGATCATTTAAAATATTTTGCTGTATTTTTTTCTTATAGCACGTCTTGGCGTGAGAATATTCACATGTGTGTAGCAAGCTTTACAAATAGCAGGCGTAATTATTAAATATATTAACATTTGATGAACAAGTTTAAATATAAAAATGTACAAATCACTTTTTTATCCCGCCCTATGTGTTATACGCGCCGCCCCGGTGGCTCCGAGGCGAGAGCGCCGACCTACGGATTCCCAGGTGGCGGGTTCGAATCCCGACCGAGGTGCCCGCAATATGACGGAGGCTTATTGCGGAGGAGGCGCCGTGTAACCGAGCTTTCGGTTGCACGTCAAAAGATCCCCCTGTGGTCGAAATTAATCCTCAGTCCTCCGCTGGGGCGTGCCAGATGCCCGTCGTAGGTTTGGCACGCAAAACCCCCAAATTTTAGTGTTATTCGCATCTAGTGCGGGGATCAACTTGTTTAGCGAATCCAAACAATAGTCTGAGTGTTACAAGGAAAAGCTTTTAGAGCGCTAGCTGCTTTTTTATTTCTCTATTTTTACCCGTATTTCATAAGCATTCAGTAACCGATGTGTCCAAAATTTATTCCCAACGAATAATATTAACTTATTAATCTGCCATAAACGGTAAATTCGAATCTTTTCTAAGCCTCGCTAACCTCCGTTTGAACACTTCAGTACATCAAACCGGTCAGGCAGATCCATGGCATATTCGCCAATCACGCACAAGCTTGTAACGTCAAAGAGTTGGCCGCCTCGGTGGCTCCGAGGCGAGAGCGCCGGCCTACAGGTCCCCCATGTGGCCGGTTCGAATCCCGGCCGATCTGCCCGCAATCTGACGGAGGGTTATTGGGAGTAAGGCGCCGTGTAATCGAGCTTTCGGTTGCACGTCAAAAGATCCCCAGGTGGTCTAAATTAATCCTCAGTCCTCCGCTGGGGTGCGCCAGATGCCCGTCGTTGGTTTTGGCACGTAAAACCCCCAAATTTGACTTTTGACTTTTGAACGTCAGAGTTCAATAGAATTGACTAGGGTTGATAACTGGGCTAACAAGCAATCCACGACACACAAATTCAGCGCAAAAGACGAGGACAAGAAAGGGACGTCAAAAGGGCGCTACGTACAACTGAAGCTTTTTTCGTGTTGTCATCTGGCGTAAATACAACCGACTCCAACAAAACAAGTAAGGGTAGAATAATAACACATTATATTATATAATACCGTTTACTTTATGAACCCCAAGAACAACCGCAAAGGTCTTCATATTGGCGCACAAAGACAATAAATATAAGAAACAACATACGCACAGCATGAAATGTACAAATTAACACGGCTAAAAGATAATGGCACACTTCATATCAAATGTTATACACCAGTTTCAACTTTCAATCAGATTCTCCAAGTCCTTGCGACAAACTTGGGGATTCCTGATGATGTCGAAGCTAGAGGATGCGATCCCATTAAATTAAATTTGCATGCGGGACAGTGGTGAGAGTTTAGACATGAATTGAACGTAAAGGGACAAACATTTCTGGCAACGCGAAAGGGATGATAAAAATCAGGAAATCACAGGAGTTTCGCATAAATCCAGCCATTTACCACCCTGTAAAAAAAAAATAAATCACGGCCGAATCTTCTATTTGACAAAGACCTAAGTAAGACACAATTAAAATAAATTGAAAATCATAATAAAAGCAAAGTTGAAAGTGTTTTTCATGCACAATGGGTATCATGTTTTACACCGATTCAATGGATAGCGACTGTGCACGTGTTAGAGAACTCCAAAGCACTGGGCAAATTCAAGCCGTGAACAAACTAAAGCACTAAACAAAAAAATCATAAAATGAGGGTGTCTGAACATTTAAGTTATATGATATATAATACCAAGACGTTTCATTGCACGGCCAACAATAAAGAATGCGTAAATATTAAATGACAACGTGCTATCAAGGCACACACCGAGATCTTCTATTACAGTCATGCGCTCGATTGGAGTTCCTCCCGAAGATAAGTGAATTGCATAACAGCATGCCGTCTGCTTCAAAGGAGAACCTTAAAAGTTTTTGGGATTTAGGAGCAAATTATTTGCCAAAAACCACTGCAGCATGTTATTCACGTCGTGCTGAAGATCATTACAATCAAGAGCATTGCATCATCGCGCATAAAACTCTTAATATCCTCCGCAAACCGTATAATTTCATGTGTTTTGACAGATGGTGCTATATCATTAGCGAATATTAGCAACAAAAAAGGCCCAAGGATAGATACTTGGGGGACACCCGAAGTTGAATAAAACAGTTTAAAATGTACACTAGAAATTCGAACATGATTCGTACAATGTTATAAAAAACTTTGAAAACAGGGAAGCAGCTCAAAACAACCATCATATAACGATAATTTGTGAAGCATTAACTCGGGATCATCTTTGTCAAACGCTTTAGACATATCGAAATAAATTGCCTGTACCTGTCTCCTGTTTGTACCAATTGGTGCAACGAAGTGTAAGGAGAGGCGCAAATTGGTTTCAACTGACCGTCCCGTAATAAACCCGTGCTACGAAGTCATTAATTTTGTATAAAAGTAATACGTTACACTGGTATAGATAACTTTCTTAAACCCTTTAAAAGTGCTGTACAGTAAAGAAACAGGCTGGTGATTACTGACAACCAATGAATCATCCCCCCTTCAATAATGGCACGACGACCACTTTCTTCCATTATGATGGGAACACACCGGAGTGAAATGATATGTTTAAAATGTGTTCCAAAATTGGTGCAGACAAGTCACAATAACCTTTGGCTACACAGCTCGGAATACAATATACCCAGTAGAGGACTTCAGTTTAAAGCTTGTTGTAGCTTCCTAAACTTCATCCGTCTGTACTCTAGAACACGATAAAACATCCTGGCAGTTTACTTCTATGTCAATAGGCTGACCAACAGTGTAGCATCAGCTAAAATAGTCTGCAAACCAATCTTCCATCTTTGGCGCGAAAGAGATACACTTAGTGTTTCAATCAGAACAATCTCGCAGTGAAATTTAATGTGTAAATTGTTACGGGTGTGCTGTTGCGCAAACTTCCAGAAAATGTGGAGGCGGTGGTTTAGACCGCTCTCGACATCATTAGGATGGAACTGTTTATTTCGCGACTGCCATAGTCATGCACACCCGTTCCTGCACGAACTGCAGGTCTTGTTTTGAAGAGATAAGAATCTTGAAGGCACATAACAGCAGGTACAGCCGGGAGATATTTGAGTCACTCACCATGAACAGCGCAAAAACAACGTTTCTAATCCCTCATCGTTTCTGACAAAGCCGGAAAGTGAATTTCTTAAATCACAGATGGGCTCTGTCGACATGAGTTTGCATTTTATCTTGTGTCTTCCCTCCTTTTTCTCCAAGTTACTTTCCCTTTCCTTGACATTCCCGCATTTAATCGGTTGCTTGCTTCTGGAATTTCTATTTGTCTGGTGCTAGCTTAAAGATGTGGTTGCGTCGTCTTTGTCTCACAATTTTATTCTTTCTTCAATTTTTAAATAATTTTACCCGTAACCATTCTGAATACGATTCTTGGTCGAACCTTTGATGCAACTCAAGCGAAGTGTGATGTGCAATTACTACGCCACCACCTGTTGCCCGTGCTAATATAGTCCCTTTCGCGGCGGTAGACATAGTATTTAGGTGTACAATTAGAATTCGGAATGCCATGGCAGAGCCATGTTTCCGGTAAAGATATAACATCAAATTTGGTAGCAATAAGATTGAATATACAATAGCCAGCCTTTGAGCGCAGTCCTCGAACATCTTGATAAAATATGCTACGCACTTCCATCATTTAATCTGATGTCGTTTTGAGGTAATAAGTGCGAGCATGGTTAAGGTGGCCAAAGAACAGGTGGGAAATACTGCCCTACGGCCAAACTTCCGGTTAGTTAATGGCGTCATACAGGGCCTGGTCACATGAGAAATGAAAGGAAGAATAAGAGGAAATCGAGTTACCATTTTGGAGCAGGCAATTGACTTTCCGTTTAGGACCGGATCGACAATCGTCTGGACATTGTCAACCGACGTGTTCGGTCGCAGTCGAGATAAAAAAAAGTGACATTCGGCGCTCGGGTCTAGCAATAGCGTTCACAGAGTCGGATTTAGCAGTGTCAATAGACGGCTGTGCACGTCGCATGATATCGGTGCAGCCGCCATTCGTCAAGCTCGCGGGATGCGCTTCATTCCCACTACAAAATCCAGTTGATGGTGGAGGATGGGCAGGTTCTGCGAGAGTCGTTAAGTTCGAACGTTAAAGAGGAGGCCAGTTGTTCGGGTGCTCAAGGGCGGGTGGTGCAAACAAAGTCTTGCTTGCCGCTGAAGACGCGCGGGGTGTCCGGGCTGCTGTGGCAGCATAAAGTAGACGCGATGAAGACGGGACTGGCAGACGATCCACTAGGTTCTTGCGTAGTTGATGCTCCTCGGAGGGAAGGTGTTGATATTCTGCTCTAAGGCATTTAAACTCGACGGTCAAGATGACCAGTTTCTTTGCCATGCTGTCGATCACGCGGAGCAAACCAGTGAGGACGTGAAAGCCATCCTGTGAGCCGCTGGCTCGCCCGTGAAAGCGTTCGTCATGTTGTTATTTGGCGCATCTGATATGTCAACCTGGACTTCGGTAACTTACTATGGCGCCGAGTGCAACCCGTGCCTTTGAAAGTGGTGGTCCCAGGCGTCATGAAAATATTGTATTCCTCGAGGCCAATGTTGAAGCATCTGCAGTGAAATTTTCTGTCGCAGTCAGCGGAACAGAGAAGGTATTGCTACTTTGGGTAGAAACAAGCTTCACAGGAGCCGCACTGTTCTTTTTGTCGAGCACTGGTTGACGAGTCGCATACAATGGGATCTTCGATGACAAAAAATGAGCTGATTATGAAAAAAAAAAATATTAAGCTTACAGAAGGAACTTAGAAAATGGTCCCTCCCATTTTAATAGTCGGTGTCGTCATCAAGAAAGAAAGCACAAAAACTAAATGGCTACAATTCGTCTACAGGTCACGTGCCATTTACAGCATTGTCACTGGCTCCTCCCTCTCATCCAAGAAAATGCCATTTCTTATCCGACAAAGACAAGTAGGGTGCGCTTGCACACTGTGGTCCTAACCTTCCAATTTTACGATAAACGAATATTAATAGAGAAATCGGCCACGCTGGACGTAATGTTTTCAGAATGATTAGAGCCCATAAAATGACTTATATCATAAAGCGATCATCGCAGAAAGTGGTCTAGTTCCCATTTAACTTCTCTTCTTGAAAACCGATATTTTGCTTCTAGGAGTCTGCAAGTGTCACAATACCTGTGATGACAGCGGAAATGATTCTCCGGCGATGGAAGAAGAGGCTAGATGTAAGGGCCCTCCAGCTAGTTCCTTAGGAAGAATGAGTGTGTTTGGATTTTTCTACGACCAGACTAGGGATGAGTGTCGTCAGGTTATCTTTGGAGATGGTGAATGGAATAAGGAAAAAAACAAGTTTCAAACACTTCAAGAATGCAGACAAGCATGCAGAAGTAAGTGATGGTATTTATGTTGCTTCTACTTAATTTCAACAGACACTGAAGAATTCTTTTATTTTTATTTTTTCCATGTTTCTGTTTAAAAGTGCGCATAATTTCAATTGTATTTGTGAGGAGGTTTTAAAAAGAGCCAGTTTCGCTTAAGCCGAATCAGTCGTAACCTAACGCGGAGTAGTCTTGACTGAGTTTTGCCTTTCCCTCTTTTACGAAGAAAATGCTAAACGGTGGCGATGTTTTAATTACACTTCACTGACAATGACTACAGGCGTCTTTTAACAAGAAAGACGACGAAAACCCGTGTTTGTGCGGCTGAGCTGCCGGAAGTTATTTAAGAAGAGCATGCATCACGGATACTTCACACGTAAACGCAGTGTGGCCATTTTTTGCTTCTAAAAAGTTGTTTGTGCAAAAAAGAATAATCTGAATCATGCAACTAATATTTATATATATCTTTTCATATCAAAGGTAGGGTGCCCCTCTCCTGCTTTACATCACCTGAAGCCACAGATAAGAGAATGAGTTCCCCAATGTTTACATATAATTCAACACGTGGGTTATGCGAAGGCATATCCTCTCCAAATGATGACCCTGCAAACAATGTGTTCAGGGGAGAAGAGACGTGTAAAAAAACATGTAGAGGTATGTATGAAAGCATTCTAACATTGTACTAGGTATCGCCTAATTTAAATATTGTCAGTTTTAAAATAATTTTTATATGACAATATTTAGATGTTGGATCAGTTGCCTAATAGTATTTTAACAAAAAGGAACGATGCGCTACAAATAATAAATTATTCTGAAATTACCTCCCATAAAGAAACCTTAAAGGGCAGTGTTTACACGGAAGACTTGGATGACATCATACATTGAATTACTTTGGAGACTAAAACAGAAAACACTGGAGTAAAATAGGAGACGGAAGCAGAAAGCGATTCTGGCGTCAGGAAGTGCACAACTAAATATTTTCCCCGGAAATGCAGCTAGTGGGTTTGACTCAGTAGAGAAATTGATAATCTATAAAATATTTCTTTGTCGGATAGATCACAGGCAGTATTAGGGATCCTAAGCTCATCTTGGTATTTTGCTGCCAAACTTCATTGTGTGCAATATAGACCTGCCAGGATTTGCATAGCAATTTCGTATAATCTAAATAATTAGTTACCTTTTTGAGCTTGTTGGCTTATTTGTTTTATTTCTACCGAGATATGTCTTATTCGATCTCATTGATTCCAAGTGACCGTATATGGCATTAAGGACCAAGTTTTGATAAAAACGACTTCAAATGGCTATGAAGTGCTATAAGTGAATATTATTTATAATTATGTGATTTTTTGTTGGCTTAGACGTATGAACGGCTTCAAGTAGATTCGTTAGCTATTACCACCTTTTTTGATCAGATTGTCATTAAATGGCGGCCGATGGCTATTGTTGAGATAATTAACAATCGACATTCCTACTGAAAAAAATTATATGAGTTTTTTCTGATATGTTTATTGGACACCTTTTTCATAACAGAACTTATTATTTCATATCAGTTTTATATGCCGCATACCAGTTACACTAGGCTAGGTGGCGCTAGGTACCGCCCAATTCATGTGCTACAAAATATATTTATTCACTCACGCCACCATTTAGATACATTACGCATACCACTAGCATCAGTTGAACAAATAAAGTAAACCGGATGACTGCGAAATTATTTTAAAATTCCAAGACTCTCCGATAGAGCGTGTCACTATCTACAAATTTTTGGGAATTCTCTTCGAAGAAAATTTAAGCTGGACTCCACATGTAAATAAAATTCATGCAAGCATCTCTAGATCTATTGGCATTTTATACAAAATAAGAACACTTGTCCCACGCTGGTTAAGACGTCAGTTGTATTATTCACTAGTTCATTCCCACCTTCATTACTGTCTACTAGTCTGGGGTTCAACGACTAAGACAAATATTGATAGGCTGTTTGTTTTGCAAAAAAAAGCAGTACGTTGTATTGAAAATCTTCAGCGCACCGACCACACAACGCCGTTTTTTTCTAAAACATAGCTTCCTTAATATTAGTCAGTTATTCCAGCTTAAACTTTCAATCCACATTTTTAATGAGTTCAATCGTGACCAGTCCACTTTTTTTGACGCATTCCTTCCTAGAAATATACAATACAATCTTCGGTTTGACTCTTATCGAATACCTTGGTCAAGGACGAATTACGGACATACTCAATTAGCGTACTTAATTCCTGATTTCTTAAATAAACATCCGGCCGTAAGAGAAATGATTCATGAATGCGGATCAAAGCATACCTTTAAAAGAAATATAAAACGGTACCTTCTATCATGTCCCATTGAATAAATGTTTTTAAAAAGTGTTTGCATCCAATGGTTGAGCTTCATTTATTCTAGTGCGTCCTATGTCCCCGAAAATTGTTATGACATGACTACTGTATAAGTTATGTTGTTTTGATCTTTATTTGTGGGCCGTTCTGTTTCCCCGTGGTTTCTGTGTTTATATTACAACGTGTCGTACTATACGCTGAGCAATGTAAACTGGTGATAGGGCCAAGTCAGGCAGAACCCATCTGCCTTTTGCCTTGTCATCGGAGACCTTGTGTCTGAATAAAACCAATTCAATTCAATTCAATTCAATATGTCGCATATCAGTTTTGGGGTTTTTCATATCAGTTCTTATACCGCATATCAGTTTTTTAAGTATTTGATATCAGTTTCATATATAGCGTGTCAGTTTTTGGGTATTTCATATCAGTTCTTATATCGCATATCAGTTTTCGGATATTTCGTATCAGTTTCATATGTCGCATATCAGTTTTTGGATATTTCATATCAGTTCTTATATAGATTCATATACTTTTTTCAGTAGGGATTAAATGGTTGCCAATGGCTATTACTGAGATAATTAACAATTTTCTATTTTGGTGTTGGTGTTTGAGTATGGCTTCAACTGGCTATTATTGGCTATCAACCTCCAGTTTTATATATATTTTCTAGATATGGTCTACAAATGGCTATTAATAATGGGGTATTCAAAACTGAGCGATTTCAGTTTGAGGTGAAGTAACTTCAGGTGGTTATTGGAATCTATTTCTGACCATTAGTTTCAAATGGCTACTAGTGGCATTAGTACGTTTGTGGTCGGTTTGCTTTGCCACATACCCGACCCTGGGGAATAACACGGAGCCAATGGTTTCAACCACAAGAAACTACATTTAATTGGACATGGAGGAGACGATTAACATTGTTACCCACGGCGCCTGAGTCCAGGCAGCGACTTCCTGTGCGTGGCCTCTGATGCGCCTTATCGAGGCGGCGCACGCGATGTGCGCGTGGCGGGCGTGACATCGCCGCCACGCAGGAATAGTTCGGCACCTTTGCCTCGCAGTCGGGCAACTGGGCTGAAGAGCTGCCAGGGGGCCCACAAGTTGAATAGAAATTATCTTCTATCTGGGTGTGTAGCGACACTCAAGGCCAGCCTACGCCATGAACGACGACGACGAGGTTCAGCTGCCTCTGCAGCGCGAGCAATTAAAGCAGGTCGAATCCAAACGCTGTCCGAGCTGGTTCGTTTCGTCTCAGCTTCCAACATATTTGGTGACCCGGAATCGAACTCGCTCCTTCAAGGTCTGGTGCTTCATGGCTCAATTTGGCGCGTCCAACGCTCCTGACGGTGACGCCCTCCAGTCAACCTTGGCAGCGGTCCAGAATTTTCGGCTACCTCCATTTTGGCCGAAACATCCGATCGTAGGGCTCATGCAAGTCGAGGCCCAGTTCCGTCTCCGGCACATCACCAGTCAGGAGACGCGATACCTGCACACCGTGCCCTCGTTACCAGCTGACGTCGCCGTGGAGCTAGCCGACATTCTCGCCGCTCCGGATCCGGTCAACCCCTTCGACCAACTGAAGGCCCCCATCCTTGACCCCAAGACCGAGTCGGAGCGCAGCAGACTTCAACAACTCCTCAACACCGAGGAGCTCGGTGACAGACGCCCATCCCAGCTGCTGGGATGGGCGTCTGCACCGAGCTCACATCTGCACACTGAGCGCACAAGCAACAGTCGCTTTTTCCAAAAAAAAATATAATAATCATCGCTTTCACTCTCTCCAGTTAGTAAACATTGAAAGAGCTCATAATTATCATTTATAGTTCCTAGTAGCCACTTGCAGCCATATAAAGCCAATCCAATTCACATATGTGCTTGTAGCCAATAGAACCATCTGAAGTCATTTTCATTCATAAACACCGAACTATTACAGAATCGTCAACTATATTCACGACTAGCTATCCGTAGCCATTTGAAGCCGATCTGGCAAAGAAATAGATGCTAATAGCCAAAAAAAGCCACATGGAGCAGTTCCAGTTTATACACAGAAATATATTCGAACAGCCAAAAATAGCCACGTGAGCCATTCCAGTTTGTAGACCCAGAAACAGCTACAAATTATAAATACTAGTCACATATAGCCACTTAAAGCCAATTCAGCTCAACCAGGTCAGGAACAAATGCTTAAGCCAAAAATTGCCAACCTAAGCCAACGAGATCAAGAAAAGATACATATAGACATTAATATACAGTTGAAGTCATTCAAATTATACACGCTCCAATTTGATAAATTGTCAATAAAAGTTGCTTATTTCAGTGTATAGCCATTTCAAGCCAATCTAATAAAACTTTATGCTTATAGCCAATAATAGCATTTAAAGTCATTTTCATCCACCGCAACAGCCCATAATTGTAAACTATATTCACTTGAAGAAGGGCGCCCGCCTAAAACGTCGTGTATACCTGCTTGTCCGCGTATTTTTTCGCGATGCACAAGCTTATTACTTGCGATTACGTGTATTCACGAATAGCCATTCATAGCCATTGAAAGCCAATCTGGTAAAATATAGATGCCAATAGCCAAAATAGCCAGATGATACGACTCATGTTTGTAGACACAGAAATAGCTAATAATTATCAATACTAGGCATAACCATTTGTCGCTACTGCAAGCCAACCAGGTCAGGAATAGATACTAATAGTTAATAATAGCCAATCCAAGCCAACCAATCAAGAATAGATGCGTATAGACAATAGTAGCCAGTTGAAGACAATCACATCCATACACATTCCAGTTGCCAATAATAGTGGCTAATAGCAATTTATAGCCATTACAAGCCCATTGGGCCAAGAACTGCACACAGCCAATAGTAGGCACTTGGATCCATTCATATTCAAAACGTCATGAATACCATCTCAATAAGAGTCACTAAAATCTTCATTCTGAAGCGATTTAAAGTGATTTTGTTGCGAAGAAACGCCAACTGCCAACATTAGCTACTTGAAGCCATTTTCATGCATAAGTTATAAGTAGCAGAATAGCATTCCTTTGGTCACAAGCCAAGCAGGTCAGGAATGAATGCTTGGAGGCCATAATAGTCAATTCAAGCCAACTAAGGCAATAATAGATAGATGGCTGTAGTCAGTAATCGTCAGTTGAAGTCAATCAAATCTATATACACACCAATTGCATAAAATGTTAATAATCGCCACTGAAAGTCATGTATAGCCATATCAAGCCAATGTGACCAAAAATATATCCCAAAAGCCAATAATATCAACTTGAAGTTAACTCCAAGCCTGAAATACCAATCCCTTAGAAGTGTGAATAATAGTTGCTAATAGTTATTTATAGCCTAGTCAAACGGATCTGGTCACGAATAGGTCTTAAAAAGCAATATGCGCCACCTGAAGCCAATATCACCCATAAGAACACGAATAACATAGTTAGTTAAATTTGAGTTAATATTAACGGCTCGAAGATGACCTCAAAGATAAATAGTCAATTGTCTAGAAAACATTATTAATAGCCTGAAATAGGCATTCAATTACAGAGTGTCCATATCCTAACAAATTTATCGTTTTGTATATGAACTTTCTTGAACAGATTAATTAATAGAGAAGTGCCATAAACAAATGTTTCTCAATTTTAATCGGTAACTATGTTTTGACGATAGCTTAGGGGAGAAAAGAGTGGTACACATGACTGATATCAGTTTAATTCTCGGCACCGAATTGACCACTTCTCGCCAAGGGACGGCACCACTTCTGTGTCTCTCACCAGCCCCATGTATTTTTGTTTTAGTTTCCTGTATTTTTCTGAACGGTATTAGGTACATTATTCGACATCATAAAAAATAACTAGGGACGACAGCCTGGAACATTAACGAATGCCAAGCGAAAATGTCACTTCGTAATTTATTCCGCAACTACCGCAGATGATGTACATATAAAAGGTGATTGTTCTTAACCACTACATACTTTTACAAATAAAAAAAACGAAAACGGTGCCCGTAACGTGAACACTTCCTTCGTGCATTTATTCGGCTCGGTCGATAGTCACGGGAAGGGGGAGGGGCGGGGATAATTGTTGCGACAATTGGGCTAATTGGCCAAAATGTTTTAAATAACTTTAACGTAGACTGTTTTTTAGGGCTGAATTTTATGCACAATGGTTTGCACTAAAGTGTAAAAAAAAAGCTTGTCTTGATTATTTTGTTGAGCCCGGGACAAAAGATCTGCCAATATTGCATTATGTATTCGCTATTGGTAAGTTATGCCGGGTCACGGGGAGCATTCGGTGATTTAAAAGGCTAAAAGCGCAGAACGTGGCAAGGACGAAGACAAAAATGCACACGACACAGACTGACGCTAACATGCAACTGCTATTTTATACCAGTCAGTCAAACCAGCTCACATGCGCGGAAAAAGTCGCAACTCATACCTTCACTCCAAATCAAAAACTATATATGACCCAATTCTACACACGTGCCCAAATCATAAGAGTCTTAATGCTTCTAACCTTTTAAATCATCATGAACCGACCACCTCAAACCAAAGTCTTCATTTCACATTGTGTCTTTGGATGCGTTGCACACTCGACACACCCCTGAGTTCACAGCGTTAATTATAAGGACCAAGACAGGTATAAATTTATTCAGAATTTAAGTGTGTGAGGGGTGTGAGCGGTATGCTAAAAGAGGAGTTTCCTCTGGTTCTAGAAATTATTTACTATGGAGTACACCTTTCTCCGTGTAAATGTAGTGGCCATGGCTGCTAAAGCTTTTGCATAGCTGGAACGGCTGGACCCGCGCGTAAAAGGTTTTTTTTCTCTTTGAATAGGAAGTGGTGCTACCGTCGTGCAAAGCAGCAAGACACCGGAGACAGCCGTCTCTGCTGTCTTGTAAATTCCGGTATTATGGTGGGTCGGCGGAAGCTGACTTCCTCGGCGCGCCGCGAGCGCGTGAACAGCGCAATGCACATCCGTTCTTTCAGACGGGCGAGATATAGCGCTCAAGGCGCTCTAACTAATACAACTGAGCAACATAGGCTGTATCCCCCTAGTAACGCGTTTGGATTCTGCTTCTTCCGAGGATGCTCGCAGTGCCTTGAATCCACGGTGCTCTTCGATTGCGAGGAGCCCCCATCTGGTAACGGAATGAATCGCGAGTGGAGGAGGTATATCGTACCCGCTAATCTCCCAGTTGGCTGTTGCGCTAAGTCGCGACGTCATACGCTATTCGTTGGTGTGTAATGATCTGCCCCATGACGTTGCGGGATCGCGTGGAGAGCTGCGCTTCTTCACATTGAAGCCAGCTGCGGGCGGCGACGTTTTTTTGATACCCCGAACTCCCGTGAGTCATAGTTCATCCAGCTGCTTGCGCTTTCGTTCGAGAGCACCTCATGAAGCCGCTACAATACGCTGGGCTTATTCTATAACATCGATTAAATATTCTTTTCAATAGTACGAATGATCACTACTGTAAAATCTTTAGTGTTCGCGAGCCGCTAAGTTTCGCGAATTTCGCGGCTTGAGAAATTCACAAACTTTAGGTGTTGCGAATACTTCTATTACCTAGAACAGCGAATTCCAGACTTTAGAATTCGCGAAACCTAGATGTCTCGAATATGACCCCGCTGTCCTTTTCGCGAAAAATCAGGGGTGCTAAAATAAAGGGTTTTTCAGTTTTACTAAATTAGCCTTTTATAATGTTTCTTAGCCGGTGAATTGCCTGCTATAGAACATCTGTGCTCCATGTTGAATTTGTCTGCGTGTAACGGTTTTTCATTGCGCTGGAGCGCGGCCCTTTTGGCATGAAATCCAGCCCTTAGACAGGTTCTTGGTTAAGGGATACAAAAAAAAAAAAAAGGGGGAATGTGTTGTGTGAGTGCCCGTGAACGTTAAGAGCGCTCAAAAGAACTCTACGTCAGGCGTATACAGTCACTCAAATTCGCTCTACGCTCTTTCTCTCTCTCTCAGTTTCAACGGCCGGTTCTTGTGCAAAAGATGCCCCTCTACATAGGATGCTACGAGAACAGATTACTAATAGTGCGATAGGACAGGAAGGTTCTGGAATAGCTAAAGAAATATAGAAAGAATTACCGCTGTTAAGAATTGAACTCTGTTCCCTTCTCCAGAGATATAATATCGTCATGCTTGTTCAGCTCGCTTGCAGCTTTCCATTACCTGCACTATCATCATAACCTTAAAATGCTTTTGTTGGTGGACACTGATAAAACTGATGGCAGCTGATAAAACCCGTTAGCTTTAGTGACATCTTACTCCTGGTTAGCTCAGTTCGTAGAGCGCTCATGGGAATGGTGAGGTCCATGGTTCGATACCAGGACCAGGCGGATTTTTTCGGTCGCGCACCAGTCACCTAGCCTTGTTTCGAGCTTTGTGCTTGTCCTTTGTCCCCCTTGTTCCCCTTCTAAAGAGATCATATCGTAATTCCTTTCCAGCTGGCTTGCACCTTTGCAATAATTGCATTATCATCGCTTATATAGGGCATTTTTTCCACTTATACAAGAAATTATTGAAGGGGGGTTGATATAAAAAGGTAAAGCGTTAAAGTTGTGCTGGAAACGATAGCACCAGGGTGGTGTGATGACTATCAAGCTAGATGTGTAAAAGATGCGGAGAAATGAAAGATTTACACACAATAATGGTACAAGTTGACATGTACGATTTCTTATATCTATCTCCCTTTAGGTACAGATAATAATTGCTCCAGATTCTTTTTGCTAATGTAATACTATAGGTATTCATCCCCGTCGACTTTAATTAAAAGAAATTGTTTGACCAGTAGACAGAAAAAAAAATGAATATATTTTCAGTGCTGCGCTTTTGAAATCTTACCACTGTTGCATGTAGCCCCAAAAGTGTTTTTATTAAATGACAAATTACATTAATACAAATTATATTAAAAATATTTAAATTATTAATAAACAAATAATACCTTATAATTATGATAAATGATTGTGGGTTAGCCGTCAGACTATCTTAGGTCATTTTCTTAGAATTAACAAATATTTCAATTTATCTATTTTAAGTTACCCATCTGAAACACTTTTTGTTGAACACAAAAATCCCTCAGTATTAAGGGAAGGTATTCTTGCCATAGGTAGTTTAAGCATAACTATAAAAGTGCAAATCCTTAAAACACACCTCTAAAGTAAGAAAATAATTATGAATGTACCTAACTAAGAGTGACCTGATTCGTTTCAAAGTTTAGAGTGTTTTTCAACCCATTTGGTTCATTAGAATGAAAGATTGGAAAATTTGATATAATTAATGACTCATGAGATAAGAAAACAAAACACAGGCAAGCTGGTGAATGATATCCATAGTGAACCCGAGACAGAGATTATTTTGATACTTCTCTGTTTCGGGTTTACTATGAGCGTAATTCAGAAGTGAATATAATGCCAGGCTATTTTGAAATTAATTTTGAACCTCTGTCAAACTTCTCTCGCCACGAATAATGTTAACAGGCCGTCATGTGTTTCTCTTCAAGACGCAGAGCTCGGGAAGTGTGCGCCATCAGCTGTTTCGAATTGCATCAGCCAAGAGCAAGAAGCGAGTTATTTTTATAACGGCGATACTCAAACATGTGAGAAAGCCGTGGGTGGCAAATGCGGTCCCTTTGGCAGTTTGGATAAGTGTTATGAACGTTGCGGAAGTAAGCAAAACATTTCGTTGCTTTCTTTTTGCCATAACACTCAAATTAAGCGGAATACAATGTTAATTTTGAGAAGAAAAGTACTGTGTTTAGGGTCGTTTTTAATTTGTATATCATATTGCATTCATGTACTATATGTATTAAAAAATAGGTACAGCTTTCTTTATGAACAGACGTGCGTGTCTACCCTCCCGCAGAACGCAAAGACACCAAACATTAAGAAATGCGAAAGGAGCTGGCAAATCACAAAGCAGAGCTAATGTTTGGAATAAAGAATGCGATGCACAGATATTTAATTTCTGCGTTCTGGCGAAATTGGTGAATCTTCATTGGATAGACCTCTTCAGTGAATCGCAATAATTGGCTCTTGGGCGATGCAGAGAAATGAACACGCAGGCATTGTTCTTAAAGAAATCGTCCTATCTTCGAATAAATATAAAAATTTCTTTTCAGTACAACCGTTTTTGATTAGTGCATTAATGTCTATAAAAACGGACCAAACACATTGTATATAAATTGTGCCTGATATATTATTGTTCTACTGGGTGTCTCGAACAGCGGTCAGGCTCTTTAAATCGACCGCAAAATTCGGTTTTTTAACCTATCGCGCTACAAATTTGTGCAGTGTTGCCCACAGGTGGTGCATTTTTCCTACAAAATTTGCAAAGAGCGAACTTATCAGAGGAAAAAGTAAAACAAGAAAAAAATTTAACACCTCTGGAATTGCAGCGGAGCCACTGGTCTTCAAAAAAAAACCAAAAAACCCTATTGTCCGTTGTTTTTCGCGCTTTTACCGTCGGAAATATGGATCACCAAATAATCCCAATTGCATACCCTTCTACGACACACTTTGGGCAGTCTCGCCATTAAAGTAGGCTTTTGTATGTGATCACAAAGTTTAACTTCAGAAGTAGGGCAACACCCAGTCTAGAAGCTGCGGAAAAACGCCATTTAGATTAAAACATTTAATTGTAAAGATTTTGATCATAATGTTATTATAATGACTCATCTCCTCAAAACGCAAGTGAGTCTACATGCCCTAAATAAACTCGTTGCTTTAGTCACTGCATTCTACGGAGGGTTCGCCGCAAATGACGAGGCTAGAAAATGTTTTCACATCAAAATGGATTTGTGGTGCAAGAATGCGACAGCCCAGTTTGCAGCGTTCGGTGAAATCTGTATTTCTTTTTATCTGCCTCGTAGACAACAATGACTGGATCGACGAGCTTACTGAGGGAAAGACTCACGTAAAGTTTAGAGAGTGATCCATGCAGCTCTTTGAATATCCTGTTGGTAGTGATTGCCACGATGTGTATTGCGGGCACTGACGGACAGTTTAATTTTCCGAGCATTGTAATGAAGAAATGAATATGTAAATTTTGTTCAACAGGAAAATAAAAAAAGAGAGGGCTAATTTAACCCCTTGCAAAAACAAGAGTTTGGTTCTGTTTTCGTAAAGATCAATTAAGAGAAAAGCTATTACCTGATATAAAATGCTTACAAACCAACGCTGGCGGCACTTCTAGTTTTCTGACTACAAGCAGTTCGCAAAATTTTCCAAATGATCATAGTTAAATCCGAAGAGAGTTCTGACAATCCATGCCTGCACACGTTGAAACACTTTCGATCTAAGATACTTTTTTTTAAAATTAATTTTATGAGCAATTTAATTTTTATGAGATATTGCTCGACTGTCTTGTAAACCTCTCGTCTAAAGCCCATGTCTGTATCAAAATTTAAGCTATCACCTCTCTCGTTTTATTTATGGATTAATGCGTGTCTTTATTGTCGTGTTTTTAAAGGATATATAGAGAAAAAGTGCAACATGCCTCCACTTACGTCGAAATATTGCGGCATCAAAGAAAAAAGGTACTGGTACAATGCAACCAGTCAACAGTGCAAAGAAAGTGAAGGATGTGAAGACGATATTTTTAACTTCAAAACAGCGAAAGCATGTTGGGTGACATGTTCGGGTAAGATGTGAATGCCCATTTTGCTTACTTGTCGTTTTCTTTTCTTGGTGGTTTTGAGCCTTGTTTGGTGGCTTTGGCTCGGTGAAAATATAACGAACGAAAACAAGGACGCGAGTAAGCCGATTAAGTCTAAATATGGGGAAAAGTTTTCAAGACTAGGTTTACCTGGGGGGAAACAAAAATATGTACAAAATGTATTTTTGTTCCACCAGATAAAAAAAAGAAAATTACCGATACGCGTAATCAGAAGAGCGTATGAAGTAAATCAAATAGCCAATTTTGGCGCACTGATTGGCGCATTTGCAGAGTGTCACATGGCCTGGTTTGAGGGGGGAGACAGAGGAGAAGGGCGGGGCATGGGTAAGCACGACTTAGTGATGGGTTAAATCAATTATACGGCGAATGGAATGGAGGAATAAGGAGGCACTATGCTATCTTTCGTAAGTAACATCTCGTAGCTTGAACAGAAATTGCATTGTTCAAAGAATTAAATGTCAAATAAAAAGCTTTCCATGCTTTAAAACGCACATACCGCAGGGGCTCATCGAAGTTGGATGCATATTCGAAACGCAGGGAATGAAGCATGCGCCCCACATTATTTAATTGAATGGTTTAATGGTTTTGAATGAACTCCTGAAATTGTCTAATTGTAGAACAAAAAGTTAGGACGCAAACGAGCTGGTGAAGAGTTAACGTAATCTTAGATAAACCCCCGGGACGGGAAAAAAGGCGAAGGACAATACAGCACATAAACTCTGTGTGTTCTGTTGCCCTTCGTCTTTTTTCTGGTCTCGAGGGAATGTCTAAAATTATATCTAATTGTAATCCTACGTCTATTTTTAGGAAGTAAAACGTTAGTTATGCGGAACTAAATAAAGATAAATTATGCCAAACTGAATGAAAATTTACTTATACGAAACTAAATAAAGATGTCCATTATGAGAAACTAAGTATTAATGACCAAAGATTCAATGCTAATTTAAAACCTTAATTATTATACTAAACTATATATCATGTATCCAAAAAGGCCCACCGAAAACGGCACTAATCTTATACCTGTGCATAGTCTAGATCTTACTCGAACATTTTTGCGGGTGTTTCAGAAAGCACGCCTCTGCTTTCTCGTGTTTTTGATTTAATATTTGAAGCTACCTTTATTTCAAATATACAAAATGTTCGTAAAAAAACAAAAACGAAATGAAATAAAGGATAGATTCACTCAGACATTTTTCCAGGTCCCAATTTGCATTTTGTCATAGAACTGAGAGGTTTATTCATTGTAGTACATACTTTTGAAGCCTCTCTCTATACACTACCGGAACGACGACCGCATCTTCCTTGTTAACTAGGTGGTAACTGAACCAAAGCAATGTTACATGATTGACCCACTATTCTGTTCATTGAAATATCAATAACTGTGATAGCATTTTTTTATATTTGTGAAAATATTCAGTTATATAAACATTTAAAACATGCAAAACGGGGCTGGAATTTATTTCTTGTCATTTACAATATGTGAATTAAAAAAAATGCATCGCAAATTGCTGGACAATTGTGCTACACGTGAAACATCTGACGTCCACGCTCTTGGCGGTCTTCATTGGTTAGTTTGGCGACTGTCTTAACGCGTGGTGTGTAAACTCGATATCAAATCCTGGAATAGAGATGCCGGCGCTAACCTGGCTTTTAAACACGGGTAACAAGATGCCAAGTTGCTATCTGCCGGACGCTGAACGAATTCCCCGCAGGGCTCTTCCGACAAATGGCACCTCAGTTCAGACTTGTACAGGTTCATAAAAAGTAAAAAAAAAAATGCATTTACAATTACACAAGGCTAATTTGTGACGAGGTGCAGCTACAATCGGCCTTTCGTGAAAGTAAGTGACGGTTACCATTAAAAGTAATCCGTTACATTCGCGGCGTTACTTTCAACTTTATTATCCTAGCGTAACACACGAAACAATAGGGTTAAGAAAGTGTTTATTGTTTCCACCAGTCCCACCTCTGTAACCTTAAGCAACAGCTGGCTCTCAAAAGTCTTGGCGTACACCTTGCCACGTTTCTAAGTCAAGATGTCCTCCACCGCTCTAAACACCCTTTCAATTGAGTCGCCCACGACTGCCTGACATACTGCATCGCGTGCTTCTTGAAACAAAAATAAGAGCTCTCTGCCCTGGCGAAATCGCAAAGCTTCGTTGTTACAGCGTAGTTTGACGTTCAGAATCCTAAAGCTAGAGATATTGTAGTGCAGTTCATTAAAACTAATAAAATCTATAAATATGAATATATAATTTAAACCTATTTTAGCCGGCAAATATCGCCCAACGGTGGTATAGGAAATTAGCAAGTCATGGTTGTTACCCGCAATAAAATTATAGATTATGTTCTTATATCAATATTCTATTAGCTCTAAACACATGACGTTCCCAGTTGAGAAGTTCGTGAACTAGGTGACATATAGACTTGTTGCTCTCGGGCAGGGGGCGCGAGCGCGTGCGCAAGACGCGACCATGTTATGTTGGCTGCACTCTCCAGTTGGTGGACTAAATAAATGAGTTAGCTGAGCTTGAGACGTCGTTCTGTCTATTTTCTGTCCCTTCTACGTTTTGATGTTTCTTCTCTACCCCAGTCTCAGGTTAATTCAACATGGTTAATATTCGCCAGCTCGCCTGCACCCTTACGATTTTTTCTTTTCTCTGTTGTTTGGTCGATGTCAGGTAGCGCTATTTCCTGCACATGCGCTTGCTCAATATGTGCCGACTTTAGTCTTTCCAATGCAACGATGACGTTCTTGCCGTTGATACGCAGGACAAACGTGTCGCTTCGCTTTTGGACCACTGGAAAAGGTCCGATGTAATGTGGGCGCAGTGGCTTCTTTTGCGACTGTCGTACAAAAGCATCAGTGGCCTCTTGGAGGTCCTGGGTTACGTAGGGAGACTGAAGTTTTTTGCCGTGTAGGCGCCGGTCGCAAATTGATAAAAATTTCTTCAGTTCTTCTACATAGTCCAACTGCCATTGTTGTTGAGGCAGTTCCATTTAAAAAAAAATTCTGATGGCAAGCGAAGTGCAGTGCCGTACACAAGTTCGGCGGTGGAGCATCCGATGCCCGTCTTCAAGGCTGTCCGTATTCCAAGAAGCGCAATGGGGAGATGACGAACCTAATCCGAGGGACCACGCTGAGCTTCAAGGGCCGGTATCAAATGTCGATGAAATCGTTCTACCATCCCGTTTGACTGTGGGTAGTAGGCGTGCAGTCGTTCTCAAGCGGTTTGTTCCGAGCAATCGAGTGAGCTCGGCAAAGAGTGCCGATTCAAAATGTCGAGTTGGTGGTACCGGATGCCGCTGCACTTTCGCGCACTGGCATGCGATGCAGGAACGCACCCTTTGACGAACGTCGGATTTTATCGGGGGCCAAACGTAGCGGTCGCACAGGAGCTTCTGGGATGCTCGTACAGCCGGGTGCGACAAGCAGTGAATCGCTTCGAAATGCTGTCGTCGCAGTTCACGTGGTACAAAAGGCCTAGGCGTTCCCGTTGACAGGTCGCAGACCACGGTGGTGCCTTCTGGAAAGCATACATCCCACAGTTGCAGTGACGTGGATGAACTGCGCAGGGCATGCAATTCTTCGTCAGTGGTCTGTAGACGGGCAGCAACTCCAAGTCTACAACAGAACAGGCTGGGGTGTTCACGGCGTCGATCCGGCTGAGGACATCAGCGGGGCGTTGTTAAGTCATTTAACGTGCCGAATGTCCGTTGTGAATTCGGCCAAGATGGCTAGCTGGCGAATCTCACGTGGTGTGTAATGAGACCCGGAATTGCTGATGGCGTAAGTTAGGGGCTTCTGGTCAGTCCAAATGGTAACTGGCCGTCCCTCGACGAAATGTCGAAAGTGTCGTACAGCCAAGTAGGCAGCCAATAGCTCACGTCCCAAAACGCTGTAGCGCGTTTGGGCTAGCTTGAGCTTCTTAGAAAAGAAACCAATCGGCCGTCACTCTCCGTCGACTTTTTGTTGTAACACCGCTCCTACGGGTGTGGAAGATGCGTCAGTCATCAGCGATGTTGGGGCATCATGCTTAGGATGTACTAGCATTGTTGCTTCTGCAAGTGAGTTCTTTACCTCGCCGAAAGTGCGTATCTTCGTTCCAAGGATGGGATGACGTCACTCTTGTTTCGTTAGGAGAACCTCAAGATGTTCGAGCAGTTTGGCGCAGCTCGGAAAGAAACGCCGGTAAAAATTTACCAAACCGAGAAACTGGCGAAGTTTGGTGGTCGAAGTCGGCCTCGGGAAATCTTTGATGGCTTGTACCTTTGATGGCAACGGACGGATGCCCGAAGAGTCAAGCTGATGACCAAGAAATTACAATCCCGGAATTCCGAACACACTTTTCGCGGCGTTGATCACGATGCCCTGGCTGCGCAGTCGTTCGAAGAGGAGGTCTAAGTGGGTCGTGTGCTCTTCCGGTGACTTGCTGGATATGAGCAAATCGTCTAAGTACGCAGAGACAAAAGGTAACCCTCGTGTGACAGCGTCGATGAACCGTTGGAATGACTGAGCCGCATTCCAGAGGCCAAAGGGCATGCGGAGAAATGCAAAAAGTCTAAGCGGTGTAGTGATCGCTGTTTTCAGGAAGTCTTTTTCGGCCACGGGAATGTGGTGGTAGGCCCGCGTCAGATCAGTCTTTGAGAAGATCTTCGCGCCTTGTAGGTTCACCGTGAAATCCTGGATGTCATGTAGAGGGTACCTGTCCGGTACAGTGTTCTTATTTAGGGCATGATAATCGCCACACGGCCGCCAGTCTCCATTTTTTTCGACACCATGTGTAATGGAGACGCCCAGCTTTTATACGAGGTTCGGATGATGCCAAGGTATAACATGTGCTCAAACTCTTGGCGAGCATCGCGGAGTTTCCCTGGGGCTAGACGGCGGGGACGACAGTAAACAGGTGGTCTTGTCGTCACGATGTGGTGTTGTACGTCGTGCGGGATGGGTTCTGTCCAATCAGGTGACTGAGTAAGGCTCGGAAACTTACTCAGCGAGGTCTTGAACGCTTCTTCCGGGATCGTGCAGGCACAGGTGTACACTGCATTGTCGTCCGTTGCGATACCATGGATAGAAAGTCGCGTGGTGGAATCTATCAGTCGCCTGCTTCTAACATCCACGAGGAGCTTGTAGTGGTTGAGAAATTCCGCGCCGATAATTCCTGGACTGACATCGACCACCAGGAAGATCCACCGGAAAACCCGCCGGAGGCCGAGGTTAAGGGTGATCGACCATTCTCGGTAGACTGGGACGGCGCTGTTGTTCACTGCGCGCAGAAAATAGATGGGTGTCAAGGAACGGTCGGCACGCGTTGCTGGAACTGCGCTAATCTCGGCTCCGGTGTCGACGAGGTACCGGTTCTTGGTGGCTCAGTGACACATAGAAAAGGCGACTTTCGTCGAGGCCCTGACCACTCGTCGCCTCTAGAGGTCGGCCGGCCTGTTTCCCTGCCATGAACAGGGGCGGAGGCAATGCTGGACGTTGGCACCGAAGCGGCGGTGGTAGTAGCAGATTCCGGAAGGGCTCGGCGATCGCGTGTTTTCGCCACGTGTCCAACGAGACGTCGATTCGCCGCGTGCCCGACGAGACGTCGAACGTCTGCGATGTGACTCACGAGGGTGGGGGGTGCGGCCTTGTGTAGCTGCGGCGAGGATCTCCTCCAAACGTTGGCAGAGCTGCTCGATGCTGGCCTGGGGAGGCTGGCTGTTGGCGGCCGATCCAGAGTCCCGGGCTGTTGGTTGCTGTGGAGCCACGGTAACACCGGCGACCGAGGAGTGGTCACCTCCATCACGGCGTAGGCGGCAAGTCCGGTGAGGTCAAACACTGTTGCTGTCGCCAAACCCATCTGAACATTGGAAGGTAGCCTTTGTAAGAACAGCTCGCGGAGGAATACGTTGTCCAGATTGTTAGCGCGCTCTCCAAGAAGCTGGGTCATGCGTCGCAGCAACTGGCTTGGCCGCCGGTCACCGAGCTCTTCCGCCGAGAGAAGCTGCTCCACGCGGGAGCGTTCCGAAACCTCGGTGCGCTGGAGCAGAGCATTCTTCAGTTGGTCATACGGTGTTGCTGGAGAGAGATTTGCCAGAACGTCGTAGACTTTGTCGGCGGCATCTGGTGAAAGAGCCGAGACGACGGGGTGGTACTTCCGACCTTGTGCGGTGACCCCTGCGAGGTGGAATTGTGATTCCGCTCGCAGGAACCAAACTCGCGGATTGCGGTCCCAGTACGGTGGAAGGTGGACTACGGCTGCAGCAACAGTGGCTGGCAGCGGGTCCGAAGGCTCTCCTTGTTGCATTTCACCCGTTCTAGTTGGCGATCACGTCCGGGTCACCATATATGGTGAAAGAAACAGGCAAGAGACTGACGTTCCAAAACAACGTTCTATATCTGTGGTGTCTCGTCAGGAACTGCTCTTCGTGAGCGCGTGAGCGCGTGAGCGTATAGCTAGCACGCGCGTCTTTTTCTCTTTTTCCAGTGCCGAGATTAGACTCGCTTGTCCGTGCGTCCCGTCCCTACACTATGAACGTATGGTTCATTGACTGTTTTCTTCTTGACAACTGCAGCAGTGTAAGACCTCAGAACCTGAAATGGTGATAATTGAAGTTAAACGAAGCGATGGAATCGCACCGGACAATATTACATGTTTCGATGTTTTTTAACATAAAATACTTAGCGCTCTTTTGTGCTCATTCCTCAATATATTGTGGTTCGACTGATATGCATTTCAAATATTGTTTGTTGGAAACTTAGATAAAAAATTGTATTACTCATCGGCATAAAGATAGTTTAGTATAGATACATTTTTTATAAAAGGCGTCTGATTATGATTCGGAAAGATATTTATAAAAAAAATTGTTAGGATGATTTTGTCACCATCCAATTATCAGACTCGGCCAGCATTAGATAAGGAATAATCTGTATGGTAAGTTAGTTATTAACTCTTTTAATTATTGGTTTTAGGGGTCAGTTGGGAAGGAGTATGGACGGAAATTACTATAAGAGACCAGACCGATTTAAGGAATTTGCAAAATTGTAGCATTCTCTTGGTTCCTATAACAACCGATCAATTTTTGGCGTTTTTTCGGCCGACTTGAAAACTCATCTCAAAAGGAGTGCCACAAGCCCTGCCAAAAATGTTGACTGGAAAAGTTACTTGGTCGTTTTAAAAACGTGGACACTATCTTCACAGAGTGTCCTTAGTGGATGCGCCAACAACACTAGTGACGACATGACTGCAAAAATATCTATGTCACTCTTTTAAGCTTCATTTTCGATATGCTTGCGGCGCTGTTTATGCGCGCAATTTTTAAATCGGTCAAGAAACATAAAAATTAATCGTTTAATATTTAAAGTTTATTCGCTCTCGCAAATTATTTAAATTAATCTGTCCTCCAACGATAATGGCCGTGAATATCTCAATTACAATGCCAAAATTCAAACGTTAATTAAAATATTACATGCATCTTCCCGAGGGGAACCATGGGGTGATGCGGAGCCATGGGGTGATGTGGAGCATCGCGGATCGTTACTGTTGCTTCCATCACACTTCATCGGAAGAACGGAGTGAAGTGGAGTCAACAGCGGTGAACTGAACGCGCGCAGAAATTGGTTTGCTCTTTATGTTTATACAGCCTTGATGGAGATGCGTCTCAACGGGTAATCGGTCTCTTAGCTGTAGATGAGAAATTTAGCCTGTGCAGTACAACCGTTAACCTGGGATTCTTAACGTGCATCACGCAGTAGTCATCACACGAACGCGTGCCGGTACGAAACTTGTCCAGATCGAAACGGGCGGGGCGGCGGGGATCGAACCCAGGAGGTTCCCAGCCCAAGCTTTCGCTCCACGCTCCGAGCTGAGACGGGTTAGCCCACTCGGCCACTTCCTCCCCTTGAACGCGCGCAGCGCGCTACCGCTGCTTATATTCACACCTGAAGGAGAGGAGAGTAGAGGAGGAGAGTTGCGCATGCGCGCGCGGTGTGAGTAGAAGCGAACGCACACGAAGTGCACGCAGCTGGTAGAGAGAGAGAGCGGAGAGAGTAACGCGCAGGTGTTGGAGAGAGGGAAGAAGGAGAGTTGCGCATGCGTAATGTGAGTGCGGACTACGACGCCGCGGGACATAGACCCGAGCAAGAGATGCTCCGCATCTAAAAAGTTGAATTAATTAGTTAAATTATCCTGACGAATATTTTATAGTATAATATTCCTCAAATCTAATAAATATAAACTGCGCGCTCTCGCGTAATTTTCACCCACCCTAAAAATATTTGTTAGCTTTAACGTAAAACATTTGTATGTAAAAAAATTATTACTCTCTGAAATGTGCACGTAAAATACAATAATATCAGTTTGTATTGAAGTCGCAATTAAGTGATGTATATATCAATCAGCATCAGTGAGAAACTAATAAACAGTTAACCAAATGCAGCCGGTTGTGATCCCGTGCTGCAGCAGCAATTCACAGCCATGTTTATATTTGTTTGCAGGAGACACAGGTAGCCGATGTCTCATGGATCCAGATAAGGGAAGACTTGGAATGTTGTTTGGAAAAACGAGGTGGTACTATGATATAGATAAAAATGAGTGCGAATTAACTAAACAAACAACGTACTGGAAAGGCACCGGCACTACGAACTTATTCGCTACTAAAGAGGAATGCGAGGGACATTGCAAGCGTAAGTGAAACACTTTATTCCGATTATTGTTACTTCAATATAGTATTCATGGGAACTACAGTTAGTGAAAGGCATCATGCTTCAGTTATGATAACGCTTTTGAAAATGTGTATCTAAATAAACATAATTAACCTAAACAAAAATTTCTCCGATTTAATGCTAAGCAACATAGTCTCTACAAACCACAAGAGAGTGGAAATATCTTCTAAATAATATATAAGACTGCTAACCCTCTTCTTGGTGAAATATTCATTATTAAAGTCCTACATCGCGATATTTCACGGTGATCACCGATGTAACTCCAAACATGCGATCTCCTATTTCTTATTGTAACGTACGTTTTTTTTCTGAGAACGAATTTAGCTCATGAGCAACCAGGTGAGGATGACCGGCTGAATAGTAACGCATTTAAGGAACAAGAATAATCCCGTCCCTGATACTGCCCGCGTACGCTGCGAAATGCGACATGCAGGCGGCAACATAAAGGTTGGCTACAGCGCATTGTACGCTGCAAAAAAAAAAAAAAAAAAAAAAAAAAAAACGATTGCGCAAAAGATTGGCGTTTGGAGATAGAAAATTAAAATGTTCACCGAATTTGCTTTGAGGTGATCAGTGCTACCTGCTGAATTTTCGGGGCGTGATTCTCTCCCTGTAAATATGGGACCAAGTAGCTAGACAAAAAACAACGACTGACGTGCTCGCAGATGACCGACTTTTGAATTTATCTCGCAGCGCCATCTCTCAATAGGCGTTGCGAGCAGACAACAGCCCAGGTAGCTCGCCAGAAGAACTGCTAACCTAACGACCTAACTTGGGCATAATACGGTTTTGCTCTAGGAAGTTAGTTAATGCCAGAGTTCTTCCTCTTGGGGTTCTATGGCATTTCTCTGGCTCGCCACACAATTACCAAGGTATTGGACTTAAGCCAATGTTGCCACGTAGGACCCCCAAGGATCAGCATTGAAGCCTAAACCTTTCACCTTTAGCAATTTGGGTTCCAGGTTTTCACATGAGAACAGAACAACCAAAAGCGAAGCATATCTCTCGCACGTCTTTGCTGATTTAGGCCCAAATATGCCAGATGGCAGCAAAACTACCAGCGGCGAAGCCAAACGTTGGTTCCTGTATGACAGATGGGCCAACATACAGAAACAGTGGCTAAATAACGACAAGCGTTGATGTATTTTTGCTTCTTCGGGATTTTTAAAGTCCTAAATTTCCAGACAAAAACTAAATTTTGGCCTAAAAGAACTGTACTACCTGAGATATTGCGTCATCTGCTCGCTTCGACTTTCGGCAGATGGCGCCACGGGCGGCATTCATCGCTAACTCGGTCGTCTACGAACTCGTTCGCAGTTGACTATGCAAGTTTGTAGGCATTAATTTTTTCAGGAAGAAAGGTTCCTCAGCGAACATTCGGTGAAATTTCGAGCTTCCTATGTGCAGGCGCCAATTTCTCGGGCTCGTTTTACAGGTTATGATTTATGCAGTCACAGTATTGCCCCCGACTGCCTCAAAGGCGCCGTTTAAACCAGCCATTGTATATACGAGTTATCAATCAACACTGCATAGCAAAAAATAAGTAAGCCTAAAATAGCGATATTTGATAGAGGTTAGTCCTGATAAAGGTCTTGATATAAGTAAAATGTACACTCTCATAGGAAGCCTTGAAAATAACTTACCTTTAACGAGGAGAAACAAAAGGAAAACAAAATGAGTACGACTCAATATTGAAGACGGCTAAAGCAAGCTCCAACACTTAGGCGTACACTACTGGGTTCCAAACATTCATCTGCAACAATTACAAAAAATTATGAAGTTAGACAAGAGCATTAACCATAGAGACGACACTACGCATATTTACAATTATAAATATGAGTTCCGTGCTGCAGTATAAATGTTACGCAACGTTGTTACTGGTTATAATTGAAACACATTTTGCATAACCTGAATTGATTAGTGAAGGTAATTCCCACTGTCGACAATAGTTTGTAACACGCTTCCTCTCCCCCAAAGGCTCACCGACACACCTCCGAGCTAAGCACAACCCCCCCCCCCCCCCCACCAAAAAAAAAAAAATTACAAACTTTTCTACACAAGGTAACAGCCTATTATGGTACACATCTTCTGGAGCCCGTGGTTGAAATTTCAAACACCCCTGTAGATAAAAAGTGCTGGAAAAACATGTGATCATGGTTATTGAGGCGTTATAAATATATTGAGATAGATTTGAAATGTATAAATATGCCGCCGCGGCCGCAGCAGCCGCAGCAGCCGTCGGAGTCATCCGTCATTCTGTCCAACCGCCGGAACGTCGGCGTCGTTGCCGGCGTACCGTATCTGTGCTACCTGTGGTACTCGGGTCGACTCTTTTCTGCGCTGTGCCATTGGACAGAACTTGACAGACCCTCACATCGTGCACTGTCAGCGAATCCAGTTGCTTTTCACCGGAGCCGTGGCAGGGTTCGACTAGGTTCGACGAAGCGTTGGTGTAGCAGACGACGGGGCCGGTGCAAAGTAAAGGGATGAAAAAGGGGCAGCCTCGCAAGCTAGCCAATGTGACACTTTCTCCCCCATTTCCGCGCGCTCATCCGACTCGGATGCTCGAACGTTCTTGCCTTGGTAGCCTACGCCTGCGCGCATGCGCCGCCCCACCATTCGTCGCGCGAAGCACGCGGCCTTTTGGGATTTTCGCAAAGGGCTGTGGTCTGTTTGCCTTGCTGCATACTCGACCCGGAGGAATAACACGGAGCCAACGGTTTCAACAGCAAGAAACTACATTTAATTGGACATGGACAAGACGATTAACATGGTTACCTACGGCGCTTGAGTCCAGGCAGTGACTTTCTGTGCGCCGCCTCTGATCTGCCTTATCAAGGCGGCGCACGCGATGTGCGCGTGGCCGGCGTGAAGTCGCCGCCACGCGGGAAAACTTCGCCACCTGTGCCCCGCAGTCGGGCAACTGGGCTGGGTGGCCACCAGCGTGCTCACAGGGTCTATTGACACCTCGACCCTTAAATCAATGTTTATAAGTCTACCAGACTAGTCTTAATAAATAAATAACGAATTAAGTTCAATAAAAATACTGGCGGTTTTACAAAGGAATCGCTAACAACGTACGGTGGGTTTCATTTGAATAGAGAGGTCCGTTTCTTTTATTCTTAGTGCACGTTACTTGGCGCACCCTGCATGCTCTGTACGAAATATGTAAGAAACCATCAGAGGCGAGAGCAGTAAAGTATAATTTTGGTCAGCCTTATTTTACATTTACCTTCGTGAAGAGATAAAGTGCTTTAGATGCCACTTTAAATTTGGTTCTATATTAGACTGCCCCCAAAGGCGAACTAACCTTTAATTTTACTAATCGATTTATCGATGTGTAAGCACGTGATAGTTATTTTTAAAATAATACACAAAAATTAGAAAAAGACAGGTTAAATGATGCAGGTGGACAGCTTAAGAAAATGAAAGAAAACAAGCTACGAGCTGCGTGCGTGCGTGCGTGCGTGCCTGCGTGTGTGTGTGTGTGTGTGTTTGTGTGCGTGCGTTCGCGTGTGCGTGTGTGCGCGCGTGTGTGTGTGGGTGTGTGTACGTGTGTGTGTGTGTGTGTGTGTGTGTGACCATTTTGTTTTGTTCTCAAGTATCGGGCTATCAACATGATGAATTTTCACAAGCTCGCCTATATCTATTACACTTCTATCAATTAAATTTGTTTGCTCTATTTTCTAGCTGTGCACGCGACTACTGAGCCTTCGACGAAAGAAGAGGATCTCTAAGATGTCCGAATGAAATGTCACTATAATTTCCCAAGAATTTACACTTTCTATTTCTAAATTTAGAACGATTTTGAAATAAATCTGTGACACAGTTTCGGAATAATCATGACTAATAAACCGTTTTTTTTAAATACAGCGTCTTATATATGAACCTTCACCTCTATAGTAATTTCTATCATAAGCTTATTAAGTTAAAGTAATATTGAACTTGCAAACATGCATATCATGTAGCATAACATCGGGAAAACAATAAACTTCATTTCGTGCAACTCTAAACATTACCGAGTCCATTTTGACAAAAGCCGGTAACGTGTGACCTTCATGATAATAGCAGAAAGTAATGTATAAGGGCTGCCCGGTTGTTGTCACCGGCAGCAGGATGACTCCATCATGTGTTCACTGGCGTCGTAGAGCTGAGTGAGCGTTGCGCGGTAAATTTATGTTTAATATTGACTAACATTTAGTGCTTTAAAATCATTTTTTGGTGAAAATTAAGTGCTAATGCAGGTGGACATTTTTCTAGCTCGACGCCCTAGCTGTAGCAGGAAATGTCGCAGAGGACCAGGTGAAACCTTCAGGTGCTTTCAAAAGCATGTGTTGATAGCGTTCATTACAATCAAGTGCCTGGGTTGGCAATGATCAAAACATATGATGTGCTTGGAACACCGTTCTAGTTTTATAGTCTCCCTATAAGAAGTACGACGCGACAAGTTCGAACACAAATATTCGCGGGCGGGGTCACTGTTATCTAGCGCGAGTCACTTGCCGACACAAGCGCGAGTCGATGGCTGACACATTGGTCTACGATTCACCCGGCACCGCGTGGGGTGAGAATGTTAGGCACTGCATCTCGGTGCACGCACGTGAAGCGAAAGCTCAGGCTGCAGAACTCAAGAATCCTGCGTGTAGTCCCCGCCCCTTTCTCATTTCACTCAAAAAGAGCGTCGTACTCGTGTGTGGCCATGTATCAACACTTCCTGATGAACGTTATAGTTACCAGGTAAGCAGTGGCACTACAATGGCCAAGTGTTTCATTCGCATCGATATGGAACATCCCGCTGTCTAAACGTACGCAGTGCAAAAATATTTTACCGAGACAAATTCAGGCATTTCAAAATAAAACCAAAAAGAGCTTTTTCTTATTTGCGAACTCTCACAACGTCTCTGGCTCCTTGCCTTCCTTTGGTAGTTTTGCTGAGTTTCATACGATGGCCAAATTAGTAATATCCCAATTCCATATTTCTTCGTTTTTTCTGAAAGAAATGCGCTATGCTAGTGGTTCTTAATCATTAATGTTTCGCCGATCTCTTGTAGTTCGGTGGAAATAATGAAGGACAGTGTTTTTGGTGAGTTGAAAGGAAAGGTATAGGTTAATCATGATAATGATTTACTAAATGGACATAACTAAGGGCTAGCGTGAAGTAGGTATCTTTAATTGACATACATACAAAAAAACTAACCCAAAAATTTCAAATTTTCTGCTCAAACTGAAAAACATGCAACTTTTATTAGCAGGATTGGCTGATGGGGCAAGGCATGAGATTCGCCGGTGGCTCTTGCTCCAAAAAAGGTGGCAAAGCCAGATGATGTGCTGATTACAGGCGCCTAAACGCAGTTTCAATCAGGGACAGTTACCCATTCCCAGGTATTTCATCAGTGATGTATCCCCTTGAAACCGCCACTATTTTCACAACCCTCGCCTGCAGCCGTGGATTCCTTAAAATTGAAGATCTTCCTGCGGACGTGCTGAAGACGGCATTCATTTGCCACATGGGGTTGTTTAAATTCAATCGCCTTCCCTTTGTTTTATCTAACGCGTCTGCTAGCTTTTAGCGCGTAATGTATGCTGTCCTCGGCGACGCGAAGTACGAGTTTGCGATGGCGTACACGCATGACGCAGTTGTGTTTTCATGAACATTTGATGAGCGTCTCGTGCACCTTCGCATTATACTCGAACGAATGCGTCAGGACGGCCTTACGATTCATTCACGTAAAGTTCAGATGGCGTCGTTTGTAAATAACCTTCTTGGATTTGTTGTTGACACCGGCACGCTGCGCCCGAACAAGGATTAGTTGCGTGCAATAACATAATACCCACCACCCCACGACGCAAAGAGCCTACAAAGATATCTCGGGATGATTGCTTTCTACAGTGATTTTATTCCGCACTGCGTCAAAATAACGGAGTCGATGAACCAATATCGCCATGAAGGATTTACCGACGAAACTACAAGGTATCCCCAACCTTCACCACAGCATCTCCGCAGACGATGTCACTCTGTGGATGGCAGGAGGAAGCGATGGCGCCATCCAAGCCTCGCTGCAAGAAGCGATACGCGTCATGGAAGCCTATGCAAAGGAGCGCGGACTAGCCTGCTCTCAAGAAAAGTCAAGGTTGCTACTCATGGCCGCAACCACGGTGAAAACTGACTCAATCATCATACTGCAGGTCAGAGGCAAAGACGTCCCTCGGGTCCAGCGACTTCAAATGCTCGGTCTGCGGTTGCAAGAAAACGGCAAGAACACATACAGCATCGGAGTCCTTCGTAACCACGCACTGCAAGTTCGAAGACTTATAGGAGGAATCGCCGGAAAACCGTACAGGATGAAAGAGCCGAACGTCATCCGCCTTATCAAAGCTTTCGTGATTAGCAGGATTGTCTACATCGCACCCTTCCTGGACTTGACACTCACGGAGAAGGATGCGATCGATCGCATCATCCGCTGCGTATACAAGAAAGCGCTTCATCTACCTCCTTCAACAAAGACCAAGCGACTCGAGAAGCTTGGACTTCTCAACACGTTCTCGGAGATCATTGAGGCAGAGAGGATAGCCCACTAAGAAAGTCTATATCTCACCACAGCGGGGATAACAATCTTCACATATTTGGGCATCAGCTACCACCCAACAGGGCACTGTACGCAAGGCTGGCTTCCAAAGGAGCTACGCGAGCAGCTAGATGGCGCCTCTACCTCGTCACACGCATCCAGTGCACGACGAAGGCAGACGCATGGCCAGAGTCAAGGCTCTGGAGAACACTCTACAGCAAGGCTACGACGACCCCGAGGTAACCTATGTCGACGCAACCTTAGCTGACAGGAGTTGAATGACCCTTGCAGTTACGAATCGCTCCGGCCAAATCCTCACGGCAGGAAGCATGCATACCCGCAACAGTGCAGAGGCAAAGGAAGCAGCCATCGCCTTGGCCCTCACCCTCAGCACCACGAAAATCATCGTCAGTGACTCCCAGATGGCTATCCGCCAGTACATGCGTGGCCACATCTCTGACAAAGCCCTCAAGATCGCCACTGTTCATCGCCTGACCGACCACCCAATCCGCATCCTGTGGTCTCCAGCCCATGCGCCACTCCATGGCCACGAGAGTGTTCACAGTGCAGCCCGCGCTCTTACATACCAGGCTAGCACACCAACTGTGCACTCGACCTTCGCCTCGTGGAGCCACGACAACCTCTACACCTTTAAAGTGGTACTGGACCACTAACGAGCAAAACGCCGAGCCTAACCAGAGGTTCACAGCCTTCTCAGCAAGGCAAAATCCACCATCATCCGTCAAGTCGAGACGGAGACCTAGCTTCCTCAACCTGGCGCAGTTACACTCGTGGTATCCAAATACCTACGACCCGTCTTGCAGGAACTGTGGCGAGATCGCCACAATCCGCCGTATACTCTGGGGGTGATCGGAGATGCTTTTTCATTCAAAGAATAAAGACTTCATCATGCAAGGCAGGAAGCCAGACGCCTGGGAATCCTTCCTGCGGGATCCTGACCTCGAGGCCCAGAAGATTCTAGTCTATTTGGCCTCGGACGCCGCCGGGAACATCGCGTATTTGTCGACCGAGGGGATTGCTTCGTCAGAATCTTTCCCTAAAAAAGATTAGCTGGAAGCGGGGATCTGACAGTTTTGGACCCAATAAAGTCTGCCTCACCTCACCTCACCTCGTCACTGACTTTCCTCGCTTGTCGCCGTTGCTTGTCTCGTCCGTTGCTAAATCTCGTGCATGTGGCTGAGCCTTAAACGAGACATATTGCGTGTGCATCTTTATGTTATTAAAATAAACATTTTGTGGTTTGAGCTATTTATAAAAAAGAAAATAGTAGCCATACAATATACGTGCATCATATTTTCATTAAATGAGTCGAAAACAGTTCAACGTCTGGTGATGCCACACTGTCTTTAGAACATGCAGCTGGTGGCGCAGTGGTGACATAATGGGTGAACCAGCTTGTGATAAGAAGTGTTGGCAAGAACTGTCAGAATTGTTTATGTAGACTTAATTAAGTGTATCGCCATATAAGCTAAAGTTATTCTTTCAATAAATGAAATTTATTTTTGCAACAAAAATGAAAAAAAAAATATTCTTAAAAAGTGAAGAAACAAGAAGAACAGACACTTTGTGGGGGCCGCGCGGCCCTACCACGATGTTTAAAGTGAGGACATAGAAAGAGACAAGAAACGACGTGTCTGCCTTTGATGGCAGCTTCAAAGCATTCTCTTCACGAGCTTTCCGAGGCGCGCGGGTGTACTGCCTCGAGCCATCTCTTTTATTTTGATGAGAATGATGGTTGTGTTGGTGCGTTACACCCAACAGATATGCCCCCCCCCCCCCCCCCTTCCCCTTCAATTGGCGACGAGCGCGACCGAAAGCGTCGCTGTGGTCGGCCTTCCACGATTGGCCGAACGCTGACTTATGACGTCGGAAAGGGTATATCATCGACGGAAATAAGAGGAATGAAAGAACTTTAATTTTGACGGTGTTGGAAGTGTTCCTTTGAGAGCGCAATGATTTCAAGCTTCCACCATGCTATTTACAAACACCATCGAACTTGTTGTTTGCAAGGTAATGACGTCACAAGGGGGAACCGTAGGAGGGCGCCACTATAACTTCTCGCCGCTAATGGCTTGCTGTTGTTATGAGTTTGTCAAGTGAACTTGATCAGACCTCTTCCAAGACTTCGGACTTTCCTCGCGCGTCTTAGA